ACACTTTGAACATGGTGCTCTACAAGGTTAACATTAATTTGATCCATCAGAATAATACCCGTCATCACAAACACATTTAAAATTTACCGCTGTACTATTCGGGTAAATGCAAGAAGTGCAAGAAGTTGAGTTATTGATACACTCAGAACAAGGAAATGAACAAAGCAGACATGATGATCCAGAAAGATATTTGCCAGAATCACATGATGTACAAGTATTAGCAGTAGTTTAACAATTCTTGCAAGAAACATCACAAACTGAGCAAAATGATCCAATTAGTAGAAAGCGATCCGCACAAGTTTAACATACAGTATTAGATGTACAAGTAGCACATTAAGTAGGGCAGGCCGAACAATTTATGCCTAACTTGTAATACCCAGGATAGCAAACTGAGCAGTTTTTTTATAAATATAAAGGAGGGCATACACATGGAGTTAGACTACAGGTTTTACATCCAATCTGACAAGAATCACACATTGTTGACGATTGATAATAACCTGACTAGCATGTAGCACATGAATAATTATTTGTACAACTTAAGCAATTTGATAAACAATTGACACATGAACCATTATCATCAAATTATCCAGGATCACAACTCCAACTTACTAAAATAAAGTAAAGTATCCTTACATATACAATTAGTTAAAATAAGGCACATTCTTAAAAGGCAATTTGACATGAAAACAAAAATAATTTATGAAGAAATATATAATCCTTCAATGTTTAATGTATATTAATTCTAACTAGTAAATTGCTGCATTTAGAAATTTGATTAATATATAATTAAAATATGTGTTACAATTAAAGTGATCTATGTAGAATTTACAGCAAAATTTACAGACACCTTCTCCTCTTAACTATTCTTGATTGTTTGAACACATCAATAAATCTTAAAAATATTATTAAAATAAATAATTAGAAAATAATTATTTATTATAGTCACCTGTCCCTAATACTTATATTATTTCATAATGAATTTTTTATTAAATTATTTTATTTAAACAGAATTTTATTATTGTAGAGCGCCTCTGGCTACTATGCATTTTAGTATTATCGACTCTAGAGCCAATCACATGGCTTAATTAAATGTGATGAGAAACAATGTAGATTCAAATTAACTTATCAAACAAAAGCTTTGGATACCCTTCAATCTGAAAAATTATTTTATGATCAATACAAGCAGCATTTCAAGATGCTTTGCTTATTAGAGAATTTCCATGATGACTGATCTTGACGTCCCGACCACAGACAATTCATAATTGCTAAACGAAAATACC